AAGTGCAATGTCAAGTTGTAATCTTTAAAAATCGTGCATTATTTATTAATTAAATATATATCAATATGATATTTAATTGATTATTTTAATTTTACTGATTAAAATCTGATTATAGTAAAGTCACTAATATTGCTAATATAGTTTTGATTTACTTAGTTGATTTACCACCCCAATATGACCTGCAATAAAGTCTCTAGATAGATATCACAATAATAATTGCTTTGTCACTTTGATGACAAGCTAATTAATTTATTGTATTTACGTTATAAGTGTTTCAGACGTGAAACATATAATTATATGGTAATCATAACGCGAACGTGTTAGTTAATAAAATTGTTACAAGTTCAAATATATGTGGAATTAGCGATATGTTAAAAATTTTAATAAATTAATCTTTGATCTTCACACCTATGATGAGCGTACTCGTAAGACATGTGGTAGAGTTTTAATTGTAAAAAGCGAAACTACCATTTTGTGGAGTTTTAAAGGGTTCTTAAGAAGAACTTCCTTGAGTTTAATTGAAACAAGAGATAATCTAGAAGATTATAGTATACCGAGTGCACTGTTGGAATATATTATTAGTACTTTTCGATGTCTTGTGTGTAATAATAAATACTTGGTTTGTTATTTTAATGATTATAACCCTGAGCTAAATTGTAAATACGGACATAAAGTCTTTCCCTTGATCGTAATAATACAAGCCACAGCGAAGCTTTTTTCAGCTCTTTGTTATAGCAAATCGTTGGGCTGAGCTAAAGTAAATATCAAGAAATACAGTCAACGCTTTATGACGAATAGAACATCTTGGAAGAAAAAAAGATTATCAGAAAATTTTAATGTTTTCTTAATAACCCATGTCATTTTTACATCGAACTGTTAAATCATCAAAATTTTGAGTTCGTTATAAGGCTCACTATAGGAAGGATTTTCATATTAATTTTAAAAGGCATATTTTTGGACTAAATAACATACTTATTACTTTTACGCATTACAGTTTTAGGCGTATAACAATTTAATTACAATAAGTTTTGTATGAAACTTATTTAATTTTTATTGAACCAAATAAATAGTAAAAATCAAACAACTTAAAAGAATTTTTTTTTTTAAAAAAAAATTTAATGATCAGAAAAAAAAAATTAAAAGCCCCAAATATTTTAAGGGTTTGACAGATTAGAAACTTCATCATCACGACCCTGGTTTAATGCATCTTTGGCGAGGTTAGAAACTTTTGGTCGATCTTTTACCCTAAAATACGGCTTTGTTGCTATCGAAGTTTTTTTTCGTCTACCAGTTTTAACTCTTGAGGCAATCGTTCAAGCAACTGATTCAGTGGTCGATTCGTTTACTGGGGCTTCATTTAACTACGGAAGGTTGGCAGAGGGTTTTTTTAAACTGACATTATTTACATTTGATTTTTGATATTCAACGAAGTTAATGCTACGAAGATGAACCATATAAGTGTCATCAACGATCATGAATTCACTGCTAATAAAAAGAACGGTTCCTGTCTTTACTACAGAGGAAGTTGGCATAAGATGTTGAGCAGATTTCAGGTGATAACATTCCAATTTAATAGTAACATTATCTTGGTTCATATAATCCTTAGCTTCAACGGTCAAAGTAATATCATCAGGTTCTATCTGAGGAGGTTCAACAATGATGGCAATCGTGTTTATTAGGATAGGGAATACAGGTAATTTGCTCAGATCAATAGGAAGATAGACGATTTTGAACATAATGATCTTGATGAATAAGAATTAAAAATAGTAAGATTCATTTTTTGATAAGAGACAAGAAAAACAATACCGTATTTTCGTGTAATAATGCGCAAGGGCGTAATTTCAAATTTTGGCCTAAATTAAGCTAAATTTGGGCCAAAATTCGAAATAAGTTCATGGGTATTATTACGCAAAAACATGGTAATTATAAATTATACGGGATAGGATTGGAAAAAAAAGACCAAATTGACAAAATAAGTTCCTCAAAAAATAATTTTTATGTTATAGATCTTATGAATTATTAGAAAATACAAACTATAAAGAGCTATACTGAAAAATTTTTATTTATATAACTAATATTGTGTCATAAATAAAAAATAACAATGATTTCATTTTAAATCAATTTGCATAAAAAAATGTTTTTTGAAAAAAGTGTAAATTTGGTATCTTTTTACAGCACTTAGTTCACATTAAAATTTACTTTCAAGATAGGAATTTTTTTCTCAGTTTCATCCACGTCTTCTACGATTCGGCATTTACCAGTAACCAAGAGTATATCGTCTGTTGAAAAGGGAGCCAAGGCCAAATCCTGAGTTGTATTTTACGAGTAAAAACCCACTAAAAGAATGTTTAGTGCAGCAACTCTGCTTCTAGGGTGCATTATTCCGGCGGCTTTGACAATGGTAAAGGTCTTATTAGAGGTGTATTCTTGTCTATCAGTAATGTAACATACTATTGTCATTGTAGATGGCATTTTTTTTTATTTTGCCAAAGAGGCTTGAAACTAAAGAAAATAGTCATCTCTTTTATAGGGAATTGTTATTAACAGCTTTACGATACAAACGCATCTTGAATCATATTTTTTTATATAATCAGATGCGAATTAGTTATAGATCTCTGTGCAAACTAAACCGGTTTAATACTAAATCGATTCACAATAACCCAATTCGATTGTAAAATTCCAAACAACCGGGTTTTAAACTCTATATTCGTTTTTATATCATCCCAATATCAAGTACATTATAAAGGAATGTATCTTTATCGCAAATCAGTTTGCAAAAAGGTGTAACCTCAGCAGATCATGAAATCACAAAGAATCAGGTGATTTTTGTAGATTTTTTGATTCTTAGAGAATCTTAAAGATATATTCATTTAAATTAAATATTATCATATACAACTTTATTAATCTACGTCAATAAAACATTTTTTACATATTTTATGATTGATTAATTAGTTATATGAAATACTAGATTATAAACTAATCCTGGTATCATAATTAAATTTTCTTTTTCCTCGAGCCTTTATTATTTTATGAATATAAAGCATAACTAAATATATCTTGCAAGGACTTATTATCAAATAAAATCCTATCAAGGTTAATGATGCCTGACGAAACTATTTGGCGCTGACGAAATGGTTTCGTCAATGGTTTCGTCTGACGAAACTTGACGA